GTTTTTTGGGTTACCCAAAATCAATATGAACGGACACGGCAATCGATGTGATGTCGAAAAAAAATCATAACAAAAACGGACAAAAGAGAAAAAGAGAAGAACGAAAGAAGGAAGATCCTATTTTGTTTGGACCTACTTCGGAAGAAAACAGTGTCCATGACGTGAAAGTATAATTTGTAGCAATGGTTTTCGTTTTTCTATGGTTCCCTTTGATTTATGATAATGTTTTATATTGTCAATGTGATAGACATTTTTCTAAGCTTTTAGCAAAATAATCTTTTAGTTTATCTGAAGAATAATAATAATTAGTTCTAGCGGTTTCGAACTCAGGTATATGACAATTCGTTGTGATTTGGGGGGCGATTTTTTGATTACCACGTGTCAACATCTAGAATCAATAATCAAAGAGAAAAGAAGACACATTTATTGAAGAGGATTGACAAAGTTAAGTTTCCTGAGATTTGTGTCTCGCTCTCGAACTACTACACCTTCTACGTATCGAACCACGACAGGTACGAGTCGAGGTTCAAGAGTAACCAAGCGAGCATAGATGACAAACATGTTTATCAATAAGACAATTTCGGTCCTAGATTATCGGATGCCTTGTCGGGAGCTTGCTTCTATAGATAGAGTATCTCACTTCTCATAAAAAGTACGAGAAATATATTATCTTTCGACTATAGATCGAACTATACACTGACTAGAGTGTTGGAGTACTAACTCTATTTTGTAAGTCCAGAATACATCACGGATCTAAGCTTGACCAACTTTACCATAAAACAACCTAAAAATAGAAATATGAAAACAAGATAATATATTGTCAATTTTTTTTTATCAGACAGTGTCAGTTGTTTTAATCCGTGTTTGGTATTGGAATTAAGAATTGAATTACAATTTAAAATTTTTCAAAATTGTGTTCAGTAATATACTTATAATTGGAGTTGCAAAATAAATATTTTGTTCAATCTAAAATATTATTAAAAACAAAGGAATTTGTGACATAATAGTGTATTTATTAAAGTTGTATATTATTATTTTAATGCAATCATACATTTCAACTTCTGAATTTCGTGTAAAAAAAAAAACTCTCAAATTTAAAAATATTAGAATATAATATTTTATTTTTAAAATTTCAACTATTTGGATCACATAATTCTAATAGAAACATAATTCGAATTGCATGTTAAATAAGTGCGTCTATTATTCTCTCGAGAGATTTTTTATGGCTCTAGGGCCAAAATCATGGAAAAAAAAACAAAAACAAAACAAACAAACTATATGTATCCTACGATGTGTTTTCTTAGGGAAATATCGTCTAAATATTTTCTTATATTTTCTTATGATGCATGTTAAATATATATACTTTAGTCTTTTTTTTTAATATATTTTATATTTTATAAATATTTTTATAGATTTAAATAAATAACTATAAATTTATCAGTCTTTCTCAATTCAACGCGCGCTTGCAAAATTAAATAAAGAAGTAATAAAATTCCAATGTTGTTTGAACCTATCTAATTGAATGGATGTTGGATTCAATCACTTTGATTGGTCATTTTCAATCAGAATTTCAAGGTTATTGTCTTCATTTTAGTTATTAATTTCTATTAATTTTCCAATATGCTGTTATCTCACATGATACTGTCTTTCTTTTCAAGGAGAGAGAGAAAATTGTGTTTTTTTTTAATAGTCAGTGAAATTCAACGTCAATAATTAAATATTTGTTAAGAATTATAATTAGGTACAGTTTTTTAGCAGTGCATATAGAGATGGAAGATTTGAACTCATAATCTTTTCTTAATCGAAAATAGTACCAATTATCATTGAATTAAATTTACGTTGACATTATAATTAGACAGTTGAGGATTCTATGTTAGAAAAAATACTTGGAACCGTCTTTTGTTGAATTTCTCAGTTTGTCTCTTTTTTTCTTTAACACGGTAAAATAAAATCATTATTAAAGAATATTATAAACTTTATTATAATATTTATGCCCATGCTTAAAGTGTCTATTGTCCAAAAGCACCATGAGTCTAATTTTCTTCCATTCTTAGTGTCCATTTAGTGATGCCTCATGATTCCCAAATTTGCATACTAAAAGAGGATTGTATAGGTTGTGAAAGACCAATTTTTTGGGGGACAAATCAAGATAATTTTTATACCAAATTTTATTTTTCAATTTTATATAGTTTATCCTTTATTTAATATATATTTCCTTTTATTGGTATTATCGTGGTGTCTCATTTTCCTCTAATTCCTAACAAAGAGAACATTAACTTCTATATGTGATTTTTTTTAATCAAAACAAACTAAGAGAAGACATGTCCCTCCTTCCTTATTTCCTATGTTTTTTAGAGCAGTAATTTTATGTGTATTTGATTGGTGATTTGAAAATAATGAATTGAATGAAAATAAAGTCACTTCATTTTTTAGAACACAAGATCTCTCGCTCTAATACCATTTTAAAGATAAATAAACCATCCATAAATCTAAACGTTTAAGATAAAAATTTAGATAAATTTTAATTCATATATGAATATATTAGCACCAATTTAAATATTTAGTAGCCCATGGTTTGTAGAATTACTATTTTACATTTTTTATTTTAACAAAAGTGAAATGATATTATGATTTGTTATAATATATTTATCAAATTTTTTATATTTTCTAATGTAATTTTGCATTTTTTTATCAACAAAACTACAAACGAAATTAAGAAACAGAATAACAAAAATCAGGGGTCCTAGAAACCCGACAGTCTTCCTGTCAGACGATGAGAAGAGGGGAGGAGCAATCTTTCAACCACACTCCAGAAGTCTCAACATCGGTTGCCAACCTTGCCATTTCATGCGTAGCTCTATTACAAGAATGAGGGCAGTGAGAGAAGCTCACAAATTTTAGATACTGATAAGACCGACTATCTCTTTCACAATCCATCAGAGCTCAGAATCGTCTAGGTGAGGGATCGTGATTTCTCGATCACCTGAAAGGGAATCATACTCCACCTCCAAATTGAAGAAACCAAGCTCACAAATTTTACCTCAACTATTGTTGGGTCATATACACAAAATTGAAAATATTTGAATATTTGAAAATAAAAAAAAAAACAGAATCTGGATGCCATATCATGCCGAAACGAATCAATAAATTAAAGAAAAAATTGACAACTAGTGACCAAGCAACAGAGATTACAGATAATTTTGTAAATAAATTTTAACAATTTATTTTTTTGAGTATTTTAGTTTATTGAAATTTTTTAATCCACCTGTACAGAAATTTAGTCATTATATTATCCTTACAGTAACATTTTAGTCCAGCCTTTATTTTAACCTCAAAATTTTATTTTAAAATATAAAAAGCAAAATAGAAATCATTTTGGTTACTTGGCGCCGCCATGCGCAAGTTGATTTCCAGCTACACAAAGGTCGGGTTGGTGCTTTTGTCTTCATAACTTCGATGGGTCCCACTCAATTCCTTGGCCTTCTCTAACCAACCGACCTCCTTTAATTACAAAAGAGCCCCCACCCAAAAAAAATATATAAAAAATAAAACAATAAAAATCTATGCTCGCTGAGAAATTGTTTTGAAACTTATTAAATCATTAATCTACAAAATATGGCCTTGTAATTCACTGTGGATCATGAATTCGAATTCTTCATCTTAATCATGTACTTAGTGGCTATGACATTTTATTTATTTTCTTTGAATCGGATGTTCGATCTCTCATTCTCTCATTTAAACTCCTCGATCGATTAAAAAAAGGTTTTTAAAAACTATTTATTTGTCTAGTTTTCAAATATTTATGCAATCCAAATAAATACATAGATGAAAGTGATACTTACAAACTTCTTTTTTAGCTGAGTATCTCAAAATAATGTGTTTCTTACCGTTTCTTTAATATGTTTTTACTTTACTAAAAAATAAATTTAAATTATTATCTAATTCTATAAAAACATATGAATGAAGGATTTTTTTTCCTATTATTTTCAATTTTTAGAATTTGACTTAGATTTTAGAAATATTTTTAAAAAGTATACGAGAAAACCAAAAAAACCAAAATATTTTTTTTTCCTACATTTGTTGTCGTATAAATTATTTGAAGGGATATCAACTAACTAACGTATGACACTTGAAAAATAATCATTTTATTAATTGGAGGTTGGATTTTGTTGATAAATTGATTGAGTTTTTATATGTCAAATAGAATTCGAGTAGCATGTTAATCGATCTAAATATGTAAATAAAACAACAGTTTAACGAAGTTTTATTATTAAAAATTTTGAGTAAAATCTTATGGAATGACTTAATTGAAAAGTCTAAGACATGATCAAATTGATGGTTTTAAAAGGATTAAATAAAAATTTGAGTAAAATAATTATAGCGATGATTTTACACTCTCAATTATCTATTAACAATTGTCAATTCGAAGATAATTCAATTAGTTAATATACTTATTTAAGTGGTAGTTTCAATCATCATCATATATTATATAAAATAAATATTTTAACAATTAACTTTATTAAAACAAAGTCACTAATGTCTCCTTTTACATTGAAAAAGAGAGGAAAAACACAACCAACCACCAAACATCACTGAAATCATTTAATTTGATAAATTATCTTAACAATTGTCGGTTTTATCCTATCTTTTCCCTTTTTTTTTTCCGGATAAATTTATTTTAACTTTTGTTTAATTGTACTTTTAAATTCATATTAAGTTTTTAGATTTAAAATCTCAAATTTTGTTCATATATATTAATTCAAATATGAGTAGTATTAAATATAACAAAAAAAGTTGATATGGTCAATAATTTATTAATATCCGACTTTCAAATTATAAAAATGGAATTGATTGTAAATTGATAGTTGACCAAGGGGTTGTCAATTATTATTTGTTAATTTTCTTAAAAAATATTAAAGGGGATTTCTTGAAATTTTGGACAAATTTAAAACTTAGGTACTATTTTGAAATGTATTTAACTCTCCACCTCACAGTCACTCCCAATATCATTCAATTCAAAAACTTTATTTTATATGATTGACAATCTCCAACTTAACTGCAAATTCCCACTTTGATTAACTTATAATCTAAGTGTCACATTTCTTTCCTTTATCTCTATGAATTTTTATATTTTTAAGCTAATTTTCAACTTGTTGGTAAGAAAACATAATTTGATTATAATTTTAATGTTTATGCTTTTAAAAATCTCATTAGTGTCTCCTACCATTTGATCAGAGATCTTTTAACGATAAACAATACGTATTTAATGCAACAAATTATTTATATATTACTTTACAAATAAATTTAATGGTGGATGTTTTATTTTTTAATAACATGAAGATATGATCGACTCCTTGGGATGAAACACGTATGACTTATGAATTGTGGCTGCTCACATTTTAAAGTGCATTTAATAATTTATCTTATTAATTTTTAAGTATAGTTATAAAACAACCAAGATCTAATTTTGTTAAGATATCTACCGGTAACTAAAACATAATAAATTCAAATCTTCCACCGCCACATATCATACTTGAAAAAAAAAATCTTTAATTGAGAATTTAAATCACATACCAATATTTTAGAGAGGCACGTGGCAAAAAATAGCAACCACATTTAGTTTTTCAAATATAATATTTTTTTTTCAAAAAAACGAAAGTCCAATTATAAAATTACAAATTCACCCTTTAATATATCTGATATATATCTGTAATATATCCACTGATATATATCTCTGATATAATAATGATATACAATTGATTTACTTCTGGTATAACTATGATATCTACTCAACTTCTAACATGTCTTACCACTGATATACGTATGATAACAATTGATTTACCACGATACAACACACATATATGTGATACGTCTCTAATTTACCATTGATATACAAATGATATAACACTGATACAACTGTGATATCTACTGATATAACTTCTTATATATGATCATATGATTTACCACTAATATAACACTGATATATATTTGATATATACTTAATATGCTTCTAATTTATCACTTATATACCTCTCATATAACCATTATATTTATTAATATAACTACGATACATGTGTGTTGATATAATACTATGATATCCAATATTTTTTTCCGATGAAAACAATAGTGCAAAATTTTTTATTTTATATTTTTGAAATATAAAGTTATTACATAAAAGGTTTGCGTGGACCATGCAGGTCCACAAAGACAAGTTTGTAAATTTAAATCGTTGATATTTCTTATATTTAGTATCTAATTAATATTAATATTGAATAAATATTAGTGATATAGTAATCAACATTATTGATAATATTAGTATATTAATCAACAAATTGAAATGATAAGCTAGAATTTAAACAGCTCACTAAAAATTAAACATTTGATATACCTTATATTTAGTATATCGGTTGAAAATATATTTAGTATATCATAAATTAGAAATACATCATATATATATTATATGTATAATACGTATATTTGATGTATATCAGTGGTATATCTAATAATGTATATCATGGGTACATCTGATATTGTATATTAGGGGTACGCGAATGTATATCGAAAGTATATCAGAGTTACATCAGATGTAGATTGGATGTATATCATATATAAATTTACATCAGATATATATCAGATATAGATTTGATGTATGATATACATCATATGCATATCAGATATAAATTGGATGTATCTCAAATATAGTGATATACATCAGATATAGATTAGATATCATAACAATAAAATTGGGATAATAAAAATTTCGAAAATAAAAATTCAAATATTTTACTATATTTAAAATTTTGAAAAACTCAGTAACATTTTTTGAAATATATAACCACTACGATTACCCTATTTTAAAATTATATACAAACATGTTTTTCTTTTTTAAGAGAATTTTAAAACCTTATTTTCGTGTACATGTAAAATTTTATATTAAGACAAAACAGCAAATATTTTGTCAAGACATGCGGTAAATTATATCCCCAATTTTTAATTGTTATAAAAGAAAAAAAAAAAGAAATACACGATTTGAGAATTGGGACAGCGAAAGAGGCAGTCAACGTTCGATAGTTTCCTTATGAATGAGAGAGAAAGACGTGGAAATTCAACAAACTATACATTTTGTAAGAAATTTGACGTCAGACCAAAAATTTAATATGTATACATTTTTAATATAGCATAAATATAATTTTTTGAAGTATATATGTATTTTTTCTTACATTTGAGTTTGATTTAAATTGAGAAACACTATTTTTTAAAATTCACTGTTATACTTAAAAATACATATTTATTTTATATATTTTTTTAATAATATGAGACATGTCTTTAAGTCCAGTTTCACGCCCCTTGTCATTAGGACAACTCAAAGTAATTGTTTGGTTTTTTTGAGGAAAGGTATTTGGTTTTTTAATATTGAAAATTATACCAATGTTCTTATACTTGTATGGTTTATCAAGCGTTATTGTAAATATTTAACAAAAATAGAGATACAACGCGATCAGTTATTTGTATTATGGATTTGGCAAATGAATTTCATGATATGACATATTCGTGACGTGGAGTTGGAAAAATTGTACTCATTCATTTTTTATGATCACATATAACTTATTACTAGCAAAATTTTAAAGTATAGGGAAAAAAATAAGTTAATAAAATCTTAAAGCAAAATTTATTCACCTGATTTGAAATAACTCAATTAATTTAATTACTTATAACAAAAACTCAATCAATTTAATTGAGATTTTCTTTTAAATATTACCATTTTATCAAACCGAACTTATCGAGTAATTAATATATTTAAATTGAGGGCTGCGAGGTGACCCCAAAAATCCCAGCTAGTTTGGGCTGGCACTTTTCATTCTTCATATCCCACTTCTAATAAATCAAATCCATATTTTTTGAAATATGAACTTTTCAAAAGGGAGAAGAGAGAGAAAACTATTTATTTTGATAACGAAAACTCTTTAAATTGAGAAAAAGAAAAGAAAAAAATACCAATAATTATATATATAAAAAAAAAGAACTTTTCATATATATGTGTACGCGCGCGAGCGTAAGTTAAACGGCGTACGTTAGAGTCACCCAATCGCATTGACCCACCAATCAGAATATTTATGACTTCGGCGCACGTTAGCGTCATCAACTTGAATTGGAGCGTCTTTTAATTCTCAACAATCAACTTTATTGGGTACCGCCATTTCTCTGCATCTCCTTGGTTCTCTCCTCTGTTCAAGTAATGACAAGCACAAGTCCATGGAACGGCAGCGTGCGCCGGAACTCCACCTCCGGTGATGAGCGGCGGAACTCTGCTTCCGGTGGGGAGCGGCGGAACTCTGCTTCCGGTGGTGAACGCCGGAACTCTAGCTCTGGTGGTCTGGGAACGCGGATTCAATACCTCTACTCGCCTAGTCCCGATGTGTCCTCCGGTCTGGATTCCCGCTCCCGACGAAATCCGGTGAAAGCCGCTGCACGGTCCGTCGCCGGAGCTTTCATTACTTGCTTTACCCCGCCGGAGGGGGAAACTTCGCCGGGTTATTGTGGAGGATGTAATCTTCCCTCAGGTAATACTTGATTTTGCGGGTTTAAGCGAGGGGAATGAGAAGGTTTTGTGAGTGCGTCTGTTTTCCACTAGGTTTTGGTCTTTTTGAATCATTCTTCGAGAAAAACTGGTAATGGAGACGATTAATCGGCTTTCCGAAGCTGTTAAGCTGCTGTTTAGTGTTATTTCTTTTTCATTAATCTTCGGATCGTGGATGTTCATAAAAAAATTGGCTAATAATTTTCCGAATTGGTTGTTTTCTGCATTATCTCCAATTGAGAACTCCACGTCCTTGCAAGCTGCGAAAACTGTTTCTCCGAGACTCGTTTATCTGTTTCTAATTGACGATCGTTTGTGATCGTGGATTCCTTAATCTTCCAACGTGTTCAGATTTTGTGCGCAAATATTATTCCCATTTTTGGATAACGAGAATAATATAGGAATAAGTGGATTTTTCGCATCACTTGAAAGCCCCTGAAAATGAGAGTTAAGAAAATTCAATTACTATTTTCGGTCTTCGGTAGGCTCGCTTGATTCAAATTGTTATCTCTTTCAAACGGGAAAAGCAGAGCAGTAGAATACTTATTCCAATTGTGATTTTAGGATGGACTTATGTGTTTATTTCTCTGTAATTTCAGATACATCCAGTCATAATGGCAGTAGAAATCAAGGATCTAGACGAGAATCCCACTTCAGTTCAAATCTAGCAGCCCATGATAGAGAGCCTGGATCTTTAAAGATCAGTATAGATGAAATCCGCAAGGCCACGAAGAACTTCTCCACAGCTTCAAAAATTGGTCAAGGGGGTTTTGGGGCTGTCTACAAGGGGAAACTTGATGGAATGCTTGTGGCAATAAAGCGTGCCAAGAAGGTTCAAAATTTTGATTATTAACCAGTTTATGGCTTAAGGCTTTCAAACACAGTTTCTGTTCATTGTTGTTAACTCGAATTCAGTTTTTTCCATAACCCCTTCACTTGCAGAGTGTATATGATAATAATTTGGGCCTGGAGTTTAAAAGCGAGATCCAAACACTGGCACAAGTAGAACATTTAAATCTGGTAAAGTTCTATGGATATCTGGAACATGAAGATGAAAGAATAGTCATTGTAGAATATGTGCCCAATGGCACTCTCAGAGAGCACTTGGAGTGTGAGTTACTTTTTTCTTATCATTATCCTCTCTTTGAACATTCCTTTTACTCTATCTGAATCATGAAACTTGATGGCAGGTATCCATGGAAATATTCTTGACCTTGCTACAAGGCTTGATATTGCAACTGATGTGGCTCATGCAATAACATATCTTCATATGTATACAGGTTTGGATTTCTGATTCAATGCCCAACTCATCTTTAACTTCATACAACTTAGCTTCATTGAACTCTGGGTGAGATTGGGATGGCTTTTGTGAGGGTGAAGAATTGATTTTCTGGGCTAGAAGAACTTGAAAAATTCTTAAAACACTAAAATACTTAAAAGAGTTCTTTTAGGGTAAACACTTAATCAGTGAAAATCACTTCAATCATCCCAAACTAAATCTTAATGTATCCTCCTTGAATTCTACGGGTCATTGTAACTGTTGACTTGTTAAATCGTACATCTTCTGGTTCTTGTTGGCCTGACTAAATTCTTGTGTGTGTAGACCGTCCCATCATTCATAGAGACATAAAGTCTTCCAACATTCTATTGAGTGAGAATTTTAGAGCCAAGGTTGCGGATTTTGGCTTTGCAAGACTTGCAGCTGACGGTGATGCGACCCATGTGTCCACCCAAGTCAAAGGAACTGCTGGCTACTTGGACCCAGAATATCTCAAGACTTATCAACTGACAGAGAAGAGTGACATCTATTCATTTGGTGTTCTATTGATTGAATTGGTCACGGGCAGGCGCCCCATAGAACCAAAGCGAGAACTTGAACAGCGGGTCACTCCTAAATGGGTTCGACTTTTTCTCTCATCCCTTCATTACTATTATAAGATTTTATATCATAACTGTTGAGGGATACAAGTACCATCTCATGTTGTCTTAAATAAGACACAACATATGTATTGGTATAAAGTCTTTCAAGTCATATAGGTTCGAGCCCAAATCATATTATATAAATATATAGAAAAACAAGAAAACGAGAGCCTCCAATAAGTACAAAATTAGATAAAAATATCAAAAAACTCGGTGTCATTGTAGTTTGTTCTTCGCACACTGCCCAGTATCAATATTTATGAGATTTCATCTCAAAACCAATTTGAACTAAGAGTAGTCCATATCTATTATAAACCCTTATTAGAAACCTTATATTTTCAACATGGGATCCTTAACATATCCCTCAAAATCGTGTCTTATAACTCATCGATCTTGGTCGGGTCACATTTTTTTGGACTGGATGTTCGTTTGAGCATTTTGGACTCTATAACATATCAATATTCATGGAGTTCCATCTCAAAACCAATTGATAATGAGATGAGTAGCCCACGTCTATTAGGTATCTTATCTTTTCAATGTATGATACTTAACACTCTGTGACGATGTTAATGCAGGCAATGAAGAAGTTTGCTGAAGGAGAAGCCAGTACAATTCTGGACCCAAATCTGGAGCAAACAGTTGCTAATAATTTAGCAGTGGAAAAGATTCTAGAGCTGGCCCTACAATGCTTGGCCCCCCGGAGGCAAAGTAGGCCTAGCATGAGGAGGTGTGCAGAGATACTATGGAGCATACGCAAGGATCACAGAGAGCTATCAGCTCCAGATTTGCGTTCATTCTCTTCAAATTCACAGAGGAGCGCCTCGATAAGAGAAAAACGAAACTGAAATCATGTAGAAAATAAATGGTGGAATCCATTAATACAATTGCAGGTAAAGCTTGTTGATTCAGAATCATGATACATTGGAAGTAATCCTGATCCTACGAGGAGCAAGCCCTCTCAGATTCTTTATCCGAGGAAATCAGCAGATTCCCAGAACGTATATTCCTCTAATTTTCACTGGTGAGATTATTATTTGTTTGGCTTTATGTAATGTTGCTCTCTTTTGCTTGTAAATTTATGTATTTAGTTCTCTTCAGGATGGTTGATTGATTTCTGCTGTGAGTTAATAACTGACCAGCAATGGAGAAACTTTTAGCCAATTTCTTGTCCACATAACTATGTGATTTGTTCTATTATATAACAATATTAGGTTCTAATCGACCACAGTGAGATGGCTCAAGTGATCAATGAGTGTCAATGTGATTAGTTAGTTGGACACACGTATTTAAAAGTTATATCACGATGTGACTATGTTATAGATCTAGACCCTAGCTTTGAGGCTTTTACCATTGCGTCTGACTCATAAACTTTATACGCAGCGGTAATTGAAGTATACCTCCAATTCATGACCTCTTAGTCAGACATTTGTCAATTATTGTTAGCTAAATTTGTGTTAAATGCCTATCATGTTAGTTGGCGAAAATTGATTTAATAGCTCGTATTTATGAGACATCGAGTTTTTTTTTTCTTTCCTTAGACGAAAATACTTATAATTGTGAAATCATTGATGCAACTCAGCCAAATCAACGAGGCAACTTGGCCTGTGTCACAAGTAAGTCTCACATGCCTTGTGAAGCCTCTTTCATCATAAGTGTGGACCATTGAGTTTAATCTTTATTACTTGACAAACAAGTTAATAATCAAATCCTTTGAGTTGTGACCAAGTTTTATATTCGCTCTTGATTTGTGACCAAACTTATTTAATGTGTTTTTTTTCCTTTTCAAACAAACTTAATTATGAGTTAATCAAGATATAATTTTTAATTTAGATTATTCTTCACGTTTGAAATTCTGTGACATTTACCTTTTCTTTTCTTTTGTTTTTTTCGAGTGACCTTTGTTAGTTGACTTTGACTTGGATTTGAGTTTGGAATACTTTTATTATAAATTTTTATTTTCCTTGCCCCTTAGAAAGGGCAATCAAATATAATTTAAATTAAGGAGTTTGGACATGGTCTTTATAATTTTAAAATTTAGTTTAATTTCTATAATTTAAAAAATTAAATCTGATCTCTTTAATTTTAATTAAATCCTGCAAATTATTTTTTACTTGTCTAAAAACTACATTTAATAAAGTCAATCAAATAAAAAATGTTTTAACTGTTGTCATGTAATGGGGAAAGCATGACATGTATTAAAATATGAAAACAATTTGTACTAAGATAGATGATATGTGAGGTTTTACCAACACAGGAATTAGGCCAAAATTGGAACGATTGAACTCGACCTTTTAAGAGCTAAAAAAAAAAAAACAGAAAAAAAAAATCTTCACCTTCAAAAATCATAAAAGGACAATCAAAATTACTAACTCACGTTACAAATACCAATTTTCTTTAAATCAATCATATTGTTACATGTGAAGAAGGAAGATTGAACTTCCGACTTCTGAAGGAGTAAATACTTAATCATTGAGCTAAGTTTATACCATTTTGTTAGTTTAATATAGTTTATGATATGACGTCTAAGACAATAATATAATTTTAATTGAAAATCAAAAAGTGAATTGGGACTAAATGTTTGACAATGCAGTTGATATCTTACCTTTTCCTGATAACAAATTCATTCCATAAGCTTTAATCACGAGATAGAAATAAAAATTAAAGTCATTTGTTAAGCTTTAATCACAAGATAAGAATAAAAATTAAAGCTTTCAAGAAGCTTACCTACTAAATTGAAACTAACCTTAGAGTATAAAGATTAAAAATGTAAATTAACCGACGCTTAATTATTATATTTATGTTGTGCATGTATAAATTATACTTTGGTACATGAATTTTCGTTTTTTCTTTTTTATTGAACACTATGTTTTAGCTTCTCGAATTTCAAAGTGTTATGTAATTAATAATACTATCAATTTTAGATCGAAATTATTCTAGTAACTGTTGTTATTTTTTTTAGATAGAATTCTAGTAAGTGTGGTTAACTTTTCGTTAATTTATTAACAAACACATAATCTCATTTTGAAACTTGATATCTAACCTCAAACATTTGATGACAGCTATCAATTTTGTATCTAAATCATTTTAGTAAATAATCTCTGTTTAAATATTATTTTGGTGTACTTGGACTTTGATATATATTTATACATGTACTTCGAAACCTTTATTTCGTTCCCGTATTTTTTTTTTAATTTTTATTTGTTATAGTTTGAGTACTTTTAAAATGTCAAACCTCGTATCACAATTTTAATACGACAACTCATCCACTCAAATTTTTTAAAAGGTAGCCATAAATTTGTACTATATAAAATAAGTGTTAAAATATTGTAAATAAAAATCAAAATAGTCCCTAAAATAAACAAAAGTTACGTACAATAATCAAATTAACGTTTTAAAAACATACCAATCAAAAAGTAAATACTAAATAGCATTCAAACTATACTAAAAGGTATTTAAAATTACTAAAACTAAAACAACATTATACACGTGTTTTGTATAGTGATAGCGATGTAGTTTTAATCATAGTTTTATTGTTAAGTTGTTAATTAGGTTATGTTGTTGTTAGTTAGGTTGTTCGGCCTATTTGTTTAAAATCTTGATCTCTTAATGATAGCCTAACGGCTAGTTTTAGGGTGTATATATATAGGAACTATCCCATTCATTTGGGATCATCTTCCATATTCAAATAAAAATTCTCTCTTCAGTCTCATCATATAGGGTTTTTCAAATTAATTAATAACTCGAAGATTTGAATAACCCAACTCAAGTTTAATTATTTTTGGTCGATTGAATCCGAACTGAACTTTATCCCTCTCATTCTCTCTCTCTCGTATATTTCATCCCTTCACATTCTTTCTTATTCCACACCCCTCCCATCTCTATGTTCGTGATTGCCTCTTATTCCTTTTTTTTTTTGTTCCCTTAAAATTNAAATTTTGGCATTACAAAAATAATGATTGGGTCGAATACTTCTATCGGGTCGACCCGTCCGACCCGTTACACCACGTATTTGTACTGCCAATTGTCAAAGAAAATTGAAAACCCCGCTCGGACTCGTCTTCCTTTCGCGCCACTCCCGCTCTCTTTTAATCTCACTTTCTCTCTCTAAGACTGACGAAATTATCTCCGTTCCTCTTCAATATCTGCGTTTATCGCTGTAAGTATATCTTCAATTTTTTTTCTTCATTATTTCTTCTTCAGAACTGAGATTTGTTGCGCTGAATTCACTGTTCTTCTTCTTTTGTGGTTGTAGATTGGATGTAGTTAGGGTTCTAGATACGAGAATTTAGAGCCAATTAAAGCGTTTGAGGGTTAGCGTCTTTCTTTCTTTTCGCGAAAATGAAATGTTACTTCTTCTTATGCCATCTAGTTTCCTTTAGAATTCTCGAGGAGCGATTCTGATTACTTGTTTTTGCATTTTTTGCGTCGTTGAGTATTTGATCTGATTTTTGTTTGATTCTGCCGAGTGAAAGTGATTAACATGACATGAGTAAGAGGTTGGTGACGAGTGTGATTTTAGTTTCCATTCAAATATATTAATGTAGTTGCAGGGGGACGTTTTCCCTGTAAAATTGAGTTTCTCCTGTGGTTTTGGACTGAACTGAAATCTTCTTCCGTAATGGATGGATTACAAGCTTAGAAGTTAATCACTTACTTTTGTTTTTTTCCCTCCCATGCATGACTTATCCTTCTCCAATTTGACCTCTCAAGGTAGAATTGCAGTTTGTTTAGAAATTCTCAGACAAAGAGTTATAGATAGAATGAATTTTATCTTTGTACTTAGGATAGAAGTTCGGATCTCAATTATACTCCACAGTTATCTGAGGCAGTAATCTGTTATTATTTGAGTATTGTCATATGAGGTCAGGTTAGAGAGCGTTATATTGGGTTAGTTGGGTTCTTTATCCCTGTCTTGTTGCCATCCCTATCGAGAAGCCTGGGGAGCTTACCACTTTCTATTGTCTTAAATACAGTGGCCATTGCATGGTCTTAGACACACACAAGAATGGGGTAACAAGACCTTGCAAAACCCCTAAATATTGATTTAAGTTTGTCATCCTAAGTCACGATTAATCTCCATTTGGCACGAGTTCTAATTTGACTTCTCATCCCAATTTGTTTCAGCATTGATAGGAAAACAGTCTGGGAGAATTGCCAAAATAATTGGACACATGATGGCATCAAGTTTGGGAGGAGCCACGATGTCGCAAACAGATGATTTCGAGGCGTCAACTCCAACCAATGATGTTGAGCCTCTAAAGAGGGCTTGGCGTAATGAAAAGGCTGCTCCTGAGATTCTACCCTTTGAGGCATCTTTGATTGGGAGAATCAAAGAGCAAATCCAATTAATGGTATTCCTGAAACTCTGCTTCAAAGCCTGTTTGGTTCCCAAGCAATTATACGGAAAGAAAATCAGTTGCAAAATCACACCTGATGTAGTCCCCCCTTGTTAGTATTTATTGAATATCAGATCTGAAATTCTAGCAATTCATGATTTCATTTTACTAAAATCTAGCTTCTGAAATTGCAATTTAGTTCTTGTATTCTATTCTCAACATTTATTTTATAAATTTGAAAAAAAAAAAAGAGATTTCTGAACGGTCTTTTGGTTTATATGGCACAATATTAGCATAGAGATCTTCCTGGTAGTAGACTAAAAATATATATTAATACCCTGTTCTTAAACTGTTATTACTATTCAATATTTCAATTGCGTGGTAAATTTACTTTATTCATAGATTAACATTACTGATACCGATTTGCATCTGTTCACAGGAAGAAACTATAGAGGAATATTCAAGAAGTGGTATTGATCCCCTAATTGTATCACTCTATCAAATGGATTTAGATAGGACACAGTTCTTATTGAGATCATATATCAGGATTCGCTTACAGAAGGTACAACCTGACTATAGTTTAATTTTGTTCAGACTGAGTAGTTACGATTTTCTTTATCTTTTTCTCCTTTTCCCCGTTTTATATTTCACATAAGTTTATAATGCTTTCATTGCATTTGAAATTACGAATATGTACATTCCACCCAAGCATAGAGAACAAATCAAGAGTCAAGACCCAACTTGAATAACAACTTAATTTTTCAATTTACATTCCTCGTTGCTATTACTTCTATTTTTTAATTTTAAAACAATCTTCCTCCCTCAGATCGAGAAGTACATGCTCTATATGTTGAAGTCAGATGAACTTTTTGGACGCCTTTCTGAAGAAGAGAGAGTATTTGCTGAAAGGTAAGGCTATCATCATGTTGTTCATTTTCTACAAATTTATTTATTTATTGTTTTTTTGACATTCGTGTTGTGGTGCAGGTGTTGTCATGATGTGAAATCTCATTTTGATGAGAGTGTTCTATCAAAATTGCCTAATAATTATCAGAGCATTTTGAGGCAATCTATAATAAGTGAAGAGGATGACATGGGTACTCATACACCTTCAAAATAAATTCTTTGACTTTTACATGAAACTTTTTTTTTGTGTTCACATATGTATATCTCAAATTGAATCTCTCGACGGTAATGCATTTGGGCATGGTCCAATTCCTTTAGTAAGATTGATATATTAGGATATTGGCTCGTTTCAGAGCACTGATGATCTTCTTTGATCAAATAGTTTATAGATGGAATTGCAGTATTTCTTAGGAACTTAAGTCTTAAGGTTAGAAAAGATTTAACTTTCCCTCAATATTCGTTTCACTGGAGCTTTTCTAAGATCTTAGGTGCTCAGAATTATGAATTGTTGGATCGTCGTGTTCTCTGACAATGTATTGGAATGAGATTTAGGTTAAGTCAATATGAAGGATAGTGATTAATCCCCGTGTAGGAGTTTTATTTCCAACCTGCCTCCTATAATTCCACTCATGCTTCTTAGTGGGATGACTTGTCAGATGGGTATGAATTTTGCCCTGCTTAATTAACTGTTAGAGGATAAATCTTTTACTCGGTTCAGCATCTTTCTGTATCGTATTCTTTTGGAAGTTATTAACACATGTGAAATGTTATTGACATAAAATTGACTAATTATATGATATTTGATTTTCTCTGATTCAGTTCCAGAACCTCCACTGGATACATTTGTGGTTTGCAAAAGTAAGGAATATCTGGAACATATACAGCTTGAGGATGAGGACGAGAGGGCATCTAGTAGACTGTAACTTTCTTTCTTTCGTATCATTTTACTCTGTTTATAATTTCCATTTTTTGCTTTTATATTTATTATATAAATATATCTTACAATACATCGAATTTTACAGAGAGGAACCTTTTGAGATGGAGGCCAATGTATTACACATTATTCGCTACAAGCCCATAAAATCACTTGTTGAGAGTGGGAGAATTGATTTGCTGTAGACAATCTCCACGGTCCCTTTTGTGCTTCATCTTTGATGTTCTGAAATAGCGGCTCTCGACATCGGTACCCCTCACCATCTTTATTGTTTTGTTTCTTGTCTTGGTCAATCTGTATGTTATAAAAGGCATGTTCAAGTTGCTTTTGGTAGCTTCATGACATTAATGTTGGTGACTATTCCATAAAGCAAATAATGTTAAGAGTAGTTGCAAAGTTTGAACCTATCTTGGATGGCTTTGCAAGGTAATCAAACAGGATTTCTTATTGCCAGTTAATGGACCATAATGAGCTATGTAGCACCAGTACAACCAACTGCTAAAATAGTTACGGCATCTGCCTTGAACTTGACTCTTGACATATTTTTATTTGTGTACAGATATGACATTATTAAAATTCTAAATTAGTGAAAATTCTACACTTTTCTAAAAATAATTAGTTTAGGAATTAAATATTTTTTATTTGATCACTTCTTGGAATCTAAATGTTTAGTTTGTGATCTAAAAAAATTATAGTGAAGATTTTTTGCAGAGATAAAATGGTGAATAATAAACGTGTCTCATCGCTCATTTTATTTTTCTAGGAGAAAGATTCGATTGATTAAAATAATTGCACATCATACTTGAGTTGCTTTGAGGTTAAGAATTAATGTCTAATTGGAAAGGGTTTTGTTTTGTTTCTTCTTTCTCTGATTGATATAGACATCCCTATCATTTATGGTCCTAAACTTGGTCTTAATTTTCGGTTAAACACATACTTAAAATTTCAGTTCAATATCTTCTTGGATTTTGTTTTGGTTTTTGAAGTATTATAAAGATTTATTTTTGTCCTTACCATTAAACTTTCATATTGCATTAGCAAAAATTTTGTAGCATCGTGTGATTTTGTGTTTTAAGTCATATATTAACCATAAGAAGCAAAACAAGTTGTTAAATGCTTAAATCAAAACAAAATATTAAAAGAATACAAAGGTTAAAATAGAATAAATCTAAAAGTTGTTATAGATCTTCCTTTTGTATTTTCATCTTATTTTGTTTACAATTTCATTTTAAAGGTGATGGAGACTATCTTGCATTGGTTACTTGGATGTTTATTTCAAAATTGGTTGAGCCCATAAATGAAAGGAATGGCAGAGGAGCATTGAATGCATTAGCAAGAGCTGGTGAGCCATTTCAATCTGATATCTCATGATATTAAATGCTCAAACTGTACAATTTATGCGTAATTAAAGTTTCATATCGATTAGAAAGGATAGAAATTATAAGGTTATGGATAGAATAATTTGTCCTGCAACTTAGTAAATAATCACAAAAGGAAAAGTTCCTTTTGTTGAGCTTAACTTGAAATAATTCAACTAGTTAAAGCACAGTAAAAAACTTCTCTCCTGGAGATTCAGGAGGAAGCTTGTAATATAAACAAGTGAATTTTTTAATCCACTTATCCATATGTTACGGGACCACGCATTTCCACCTGAATCTTTAGGAAGGAAGTTTCGTCCAAAATACATCAAAATGTCGGAGGTTCGAATCACTGTCCTCACTTATTGTTTTGGTTGAAAAGTGATAGAGACTCTTTTTATTAATGAGAGTGATTTTGGGGATGGCCAATGGAAGGAGGGAGATTAGAAATCCTTGATCCATTGAACAGAGATGTGTGATTATTAGTTTTGTTATTGGATTTTGAGGCATCCAAATCCATATGAAGATCAAGAATCCCATCAGGATTTACTTTTTAAGTGAATAATTTGAAAGACTGATGGTTTGGGTTTGAGTGGGAGAGGCATGATTTGTATTTATTTGTTTTTACTTTTTACCAACTCCAAAGTTAAAGCTTCCACTGCACCTCCTCAGCAACCTTATAATTATTTTATTTTATTTTAAGAAACATGAAAAATTTTAAGAGTTGTTTGGTAATTATTATTTTTTTAATTAAGCTAGTAAATATTACTTTCATCTGTCTTTATTTGTGTTTTAATATATTTTTCTTAAAATGAATTTTAGCCTAATTTTAAAAACTAAAAAAAAAAATTGTAGTTTTACTAACTTGTTTTTTATTTTTTATTTGTGTTTTTAAAGAATGTGAAAGTTAATAGGTATTTTATCAATTGGATTATTTTTAGATCAATATTGTTCCAGGCATTAGTTGTCATGCATCGCCACGAGAGAATCTTAATATCGATGTTTCATTTGTTCTCATTACATATACCAATTGACAAAACCCGGAAAAACTTCTCAAAATAGAAAAAAAAAAAGGAAAAAAAGAGGGAGAAAATCATAATTTGAGTCCAAGTTGTGTGAGAAACTAATTTGAGTAATGGAGACAAGATCCACAAATATCGGAAGAGCAAGCCTAATTCTTTGCCCTCCATAAGCACCAAAAATTAACTACCACTCCATTTGATTTTGTCCATCTTTTTTTTCTTCACATCTCTCTTTCTTCTCTCTCTAAAGATTATTTGAGTATTACACCAAGTATTAAATTTTTGTAATGTAAACGTTTTTTTTTGTCTGCATTGGGTATTGGTATTTCCATTTCTAAAATGATTTTATTGTTTAAATTTTGGTATTTCTATTTCTAAAATGATTTTTTTTGTTTAGATTTTGTTTTAGATTTTAATTTAATTAATATTTTTTCTTTTTAGGTTTGTTAGTAAAATTCTTCTATTCGTATGAATGATTATTTATTCGAAGTGTAATTTCGTATCTAAAAAATCAGTAGAGATTTTCCTAAGTTGTTTGACCATTTTATGAAATTTTAAATAGCTAATGGATTCTGTAAATTGATATTTGCATGAGATCATCGATCTTTGATATTATATATATATATATATATATAATATCAACAAAATATCACTAATAAATTCCTTTATCAAATTTTGGTAGAATTTTTTAGTTTGAAGATCTTTGATCTAAAATAGCCATTAAATATAGGAAGGTTCAAATGAAGAGATCAACATAATCTTTCTTCAAGAGTTCTAAAAACTAAAATAGTCTGTCTAAAAACAAACATGAAAAATTCGTAAATCAATATTGGATTTTTTGCTTTTATATCATTCATACCAAATCGCCAAAATCATTTGGAACTTGTAAATAAAATATAATATATATATATATATATATATATATATATATATATATATGTGTGTGTGTGTGTGTGTGTGTGTGTGTGTGTCTGCGCTTTTTTTAATATATGGTTCTTTATTCTATAGTTATCTTCATTTGATCTATCTTATTTTATAAGATTTTGTATCTACCAAGGTTTTAACGTATTGTTTCTTCTTTTTTTAATGAAGGCAATAAAGTGGATGGATTTGAATCATATTCTGCCAGTTGTACTATCATCACAAGTGGACAAAAAATATACATAATTTTTTTTACTTAAAAAAAAGAAGTTAATTATTTTTTCCCCTAATAATCCCACAAAGTTGGGATTAGTAGCATAAGCAAATATGCTTAGATTGTATTTAAATTAGAATTCCATTTTAATATTGGAAACCCACATTTTATTTATTTTTTATTTTAATCTTGGGATTTTATGGGGAGCAAAATCTAATTTATCTACAATATACATTGCAATTAGCAATATTTTGGTTCAGAAATAAGAACGAATATTACTAATTTCAAAAAAAAAAAAACTTAGCTATAGTCGCCGGAAAGCTCAGAACAGCCGGAAAAATCAGGGAGCTGCGGAATAAACTCGTCCGGCAGAACTAGGGTTCTACACAGAGGACAGCTTCTCTGATCGCGAATCATCCATCGGTCCAAACATTCCTTGTGGAAAATGTGTTTGCAATTCTTCAAACACCGGACCTCCTCCTCGTCCTCAAATTCGCAGAGGCAAACGGCGCAGCTCTCCGTCGGGGATCCGATTCCGACGTTGGTGGCAATATCGGAGAATTTGACCACCGGAACGAATTCCTCGATGAGGATCGCCGATACGACGGATCGATCGTGGAAAATCGAGGTCTGAGATTCGGGCCAAACGACGCCGGTTTCGAGAAAATCGGAAAGCCCTAGAAATC